GCTTAGAAGCATCCCTTCTCATACCTCAGAGGTTTCTCTCTTGCTATGCAGCCCAAAATGAGATTTCCCTGTTTTGCCTCACTGAGTTAGATTCAGTAGCTTCAGTAAGCATTGTGTAACAAACCCCAAACATTTTTCTGTTCCTTTCAGCTTATATCGGTCTCCTTTGTTATATTTAGGCATTTGGCTTCTTCCTTTGAAGCTAGCATTTTACATGCATTTTTACTATTTTTCATCTTGTTGATCTCAGAGTGTTTCTCCATATTACTTTTTAAAATTATCATATATCTATATTTGATTCTGATCCTCTTCTCCGAAACGCTCACAACCTTCCCAGAATTATGTTTTGTACAAAGGTGATAAATTCTGTCTTTATTCCCTATCCATGTGTTAGTGACAACGTCAAATAGACCAGGGCATGCCCTCGGAGGAACTTAGTGAAATATCCTCCCTGTTGGATAGCAAGCCAATAATAACTACTTTTTGAAGACCATTTGCAATGTTGATGGCACCCACATGGTATGAGTTCATGCAGACCAGTAATCCCCAGGTCTTTCTATAGCTTAATCTCACTTGGGAAAGCAGGCAATGATCCGTGTCTTACGGGTGAGCTGATGAAACTGTGTTCCTTTAGAAGAGTTCTGTTTTTGTTTGTTTTTTTTTTTTAAGTAGGTCTTCCTTGAGCTTCCCTTGTCCTACTTAGCAAAGCTGTGTGTCTGTGCTTCTCCAGCCTTCTTGCCCTCCTCCTTTGCTTTGGAAGGTAATTGTTGATGTCTCTTGGGTTGCTTCAACCTCTTTAAGTATATTTGGAGAAATACCCTCAGACTTATATTGACCCACTATATCTGGATTTCTGTGGTCTGTTCTTTCTGTCTTTGACGTCTGTATGTAGTTTCTTGTTAAAAGGCACTGTTATGTATGTGGTAACCATTAATCTTTCTTGATTTAGGTAAAAATAATGGAATTGTTGAACAATCACCACATTCTCTCAGTGTTCAGCAAGACCAATCTATCAGCATTACTTGCTCACTGAAAAGCTCACATGAAGAAGAAGGGGTCTTCTTGCTCAGGACTCATATGAAAGCTGATATTTCTCAAAGCAAAATATTTCAACTATCTTTCCTGCTTTTGCAAATCGCTTGGAGTACTCAAAGCAAGAGAAGACATTGGTGATAACTCTGCACAACCTACAGAAAAGCGACAGTGACATATACGTATGTGTTGCTGTGTTTAAAAATTCCTCTCTCCTCTCACTGAATGCAAGTGGCACCATGGTGCTGGTTAAAGGTACTGTACTTTTGCTTATTTAGTCAGAGATAACTATAGCCATGCTACAAATCCAAAGGTGGGGAAAAAAAAGCTTGCAGAACTTTAATCGGGCCAGGTGGAGCACTAATCCATGGCTAGACTTCTTCCAGTACTTGAGAAAGTCTGGAGAGAGCGCTCAGGCTCCTGTGTGCTCTGTTGTGCTAGGACACAGAAAGAGGCCCTACGCTTCTATCTGCCTTGTACTATTGGAGGGGAAATTAAAAAGGAAAAAACTTTCTGTAATCCAGTATCTTAAAAAAGAAAATGTCAAAAGCGGACAACAAACACTGTAGTGTGTCTGTGAATAATCTGCCTGTTTCAGGCAATGAATCAATATTTTCAGTATCAGTTCTGTGCCCTTAATGTGACATAAACGTCTTCCAGAAACTATTCACTATAGCAAGGCTTTGTCTATGTTTGAAAATAGATCATGTTAGGGAGCATAGATCAAGTCCTCGGGCATTTGTTGAAGTGCCAGAGATGATAGCAGAGATGATTTCACATACACTTGTTGTTCAGTGAGCATGCTGTAGGATATTTTCCAGAGACAGTTTCCCCCCCCACCCCCCCACCCCGTGTTGTAACCGCTTGCTAAGATGAGGACAAAACCAGCAATATAGTTACTGATTTTGATCTCAGTGGTGCAGCTTAACCTTGTGCAGTGGGCTTTCATGAGATCTTTGAGCAATTCAACCAGGGTTTATGTAGGGCCTAAGAGTTGCAAAGGATTTATTTGCAGTCTGCAAAACAGACTGTGATCTCATTCAGTGCTGCTAGCCTTAACTGGTGCAACAACTCAGCAATGTGAGTCGTGGAAAAGAAAAGCTATAGATCAAAGCAGTGGAGTGATTACCAGATATTATGTTATTCAGATATGGATTAGCTGAGGTTTTAGAGAATTGTAACCCTTTCCATTAGTATTATTCTGTGTAGTGTATATACTCCAGGCCACAACAGCCTCTTACTTTTGTCTGCACTGCTTGCAGCCTTCCAACCCCAGCTGTCATGTAATTCCTACATATTCCTGGCAGAGCGCTCAGTATTGCTATAGTACTGAAGCAAAACATTTTCTGGTTCACTCATGGGTGTGTGGACCTACCCCTGACCTGGTGTACAGAAGCTAGTACCCTCGTAGAGTGCCCCTCAATGATCCTTCGCATGCCACTCACGCCCACCCCCTGCCTCCCGCAGGGCACGGACAGTACTGATGGGATGACAAATGTGGCTGTGTAGCATGCTATTGGGATCTGACTTCCTGTTGACCGAAGCCCCCTGCACACCTAAATATATATATTTTGTTGTAATAAAAATATAATTCTACCTCTCTTGAATATTTATAATAATAATATAATTCTACATGCAGAAGTGGAGCAGACAGAGTGCAGTAGTAATCCCTGGAACTTTTATGGTCTTATCACTGCGGTGGTGCTGCTGCTTTCTGCGCTGACATGCTGCATCTTCTACAATGTCAATGTAAGTGTGCTGTCTCCGTGCCAAAGTGAAACAGAATCTGGATTCAGTGAATAGGAGCCTTTTCAATCACAGCCAAAGATATTGTTTGTAAATAGTGATTGATTCAAGCCAACACCTGACAAATCTAAGCAATCATGGCTTTATACTGTTTCCTCTTAGTCCCATGTTTCATGAACACTCTTGGAGGTGAAGATTGTGTCTTTTTATTCTTCTGTATCTTTTAGTAAACGATGAGCTGTTTGTCTTTCGACAAAGAACTTGCTCAAGTAAGCTTTGCAATCAACAGTGCAGACAGTTTCTGTTCTTATATGTCGTTCCCTAAAGAGACAACTCACCACTCTGTTAGGATTCATTTTTTTTCAGTCGGAATGGAGCTATGCATAACCATCTTGTAATGGATGTAAAAGAATGCTTTCGGGGGAACTCAAGGACAACACAAAGTCATGAAACAGCCCTGTGTTTGACAGTAGCGCTAGGAGTACATCTCTACCCCTTTCTAGAGAAAAAGGTGACCAAGAAATTTTTCCTTTGCTGGGACTTCTTGCATCCATTTTCCTTAGAAAGTACCCAGAATTATTTGTCTCTGATAGTTCCTTATTCTCCATAAAGGTCACTCAAATTCACAGAACAGGATATGACTGGCTTCTATGCTGTGCCTCTACTGTAGTTTTGGTACTGCCAAAAAGCAGTAGTGTAATATCGTTCTGCAAAGCTAAAGGTCATTGTAGGACTTGATCTCTTACGTTTATCAGCAACAGACTATACTTAAGGATAAGCATTATTTGTGTTGGAGCTGCAGACACTCCGAACCCTTAAAGCAACTTTTAGTGGAAGTACATATGATTGACAGATACAAAATTCAGTGATTAGGTCATCAGTTTCCACCTAGACGTCTAAGACCTCATTGGGAATTTAGAAAATACATTTCAGTCTCCAACATCTGGAATCCTAGAATGTAAGTTGGCTTCTTGGTGGGGGTCTTTTCAAGCTCAGTTCTGAATGGCTATTTGCTTTGTTTTGCAGATAAAGAAATATTTCCAGAAAAGAAAAACAAATGCAGTATATGAAGATATGTCTTATAGTTCTAGACGTAACACCTTGGTCAGAACTAACACTTACTGCAATAACAATTAACCTCTTGCCAGCTGGGACTATGCATGGATCAACAGTTCCTTTCCAGGTCTCTCACAGCTGCCTTAGCAACTTGATGCAGTGGTTGAATTGCAAATGCTTTCATCTGCCTTCATCTGTGAAAAGAAATACCTTCTTCATTGCCAAAGCTCCATTTCTGCTTATTTTGATCACTTGTGAAATACCTTTTGTTTCTTTTTTATGTACAGAAAACATAGAGAGATGCAGGTACCCTGCAGATGTTTGCAGCGTAGTGTGCGCAGCAGTACTGTTGGACTGTAAATTTGGATAGATGCAATCTATGCATTTGTTTCTTTGATTGCTAAATAACCCTTTCAGGGAAGGTGGGGTAGATGGGAAGGTCTGGTGATGAGCTCTGGGAAGTGTTCAGGAAGACCGTGATAAGCCTATTTAATAACATGCACTGGATCTACAGATGAAGGGATTACAGTTCTTTCAAGAATCCATGTGGATCTGCCAAAGGGGTCAGGTGGCTAAAACTTCAAGTATTAAAGCAAAGGAATCTCTTCAGAAGAGAATTCGGAACCTTTGTGACAGAGTGCAGCATTACAGATGAAGTGCTAGATCTGTGTGGATTTAACTATTTGCAGTTCATAAGGGTCCCACAAAAATGGTTAAAATTACTACCCTTGTCAGAGAAATTGGCATGGTTGGTGGAGATCTTGATCTGGCTGATCTGCAAAATGATTAGATCTGGGGGCTAGAGACATAATGTGGAAAAACAGAAATATTTGTGACGTGCTGGCGTTGTCTCAAATTTGAGATGTCTTAAAACTGCACAGCAGGGTGAAGTAGTCTGGAACGAAACCAGTGCCTGAATTCCAACTGGGACACGGGTCAGCCTGATCCAAAAATCACTCTAAAAAGGGAATTGTCAAAAACTCATATGAGTTAAGTAAAAAAAAAAACAAAAAAAAACAAAAAAAAAACAAAAAAAACCCCTACATTTTCTTTGGTAATGGCTTAGAATAGTTTGCTAGGGAAGGCTTTGTTCTCCTCCAGCTAACAGAAAGGCTACAGCTGCCTCCAGGCACATACAGTTTTGCAGAGCTGGGTCAGCTGTGGGAAATCAGCAGCTTACAATCTTGCAGGCCCAGAGGAGTATAAAATTGGCTTGTCATGAGGCCCTACTGCAGGTTTCTGGGGTGAGGTTGAGAGTAGAATTTGTCTTTATTGATGTTTGTTAAGTTTTTAGAGAGAGCAGGGCTGGTCTGTAGCTTGTAAGAGCGTGCAGCTGGGCTTCACCCAGGCGCACGGGAGACTCCCGCTTTGGGAGGTGCACGCAGCCAGCTCTGCTGGGGTCTAGTGATCCAAAGGCTTCCTGCAAATGTTGTGTAACTTGCTCCTAAACAGCACCTCAACAGGCAATATAGCATCCGTTTTTCTCCTTATTTACAGAATCTACTTTTTTTTTAAATTTTAAAATTAATCTCTGATGAAAATACTTTCAGAAATCTTTTCATGGTAACTACAATAAAATTTCTTGAAGAGGGAACAATGCAAAAGGAGGACAGGGAAGAAGTGGGCAGTGCTGTGCAGGCTGGCCCATCCTTTCAACAGCGGCTTGTACCGAGTCACTAGGACGGAGGGTTACTGGCTTTTGCTAGATCTAAAATAGGAGATGGCACCTCCCTGTTATTGCCTCTGTGTGATGTCAGACGCCGCCGGCGGTGAGAGATTGCACTGGCTTCCTCATCTTGGATGCGGTTTGCTCACTTTGCTTGCTGTACGCAGTCAATAAAGTATTTGGAAGAGTAATGCCATGGTCTGTGTCTTGCTTTGATGTCCTGGGTAAGGGCCCGCGTGCCTTTAACCCCGCGCGAGCGCCCGTGCCTCGCCACCCCGGCGAGACGGGGTTGTCACAGCCGAGAGGCACACCTGGGAAGAGAGGCGACTGAGACGAAGTTTTTGGAATGAATTTCCTGTAAACATTCCCGTAGTCACCAGCTTACACTCATGACAGTTTTGTGAGCCAAAAATAGCTGCAGACGGGGAAATGCGCCCACTGCTGCTAGCAGCGTTTGCAAGCAGGCGAGCGCTCTGGGGCCTTTACCCCAGGAGCTCTCCGCCGGGGGGGACGCGATGCTGCCGTTTGCTTTGGACGCTGCCATGTCTGTTGGGGCAGGGCAGAAGATGCTGTCTCAGTGGGGTCTGTCCGATCGGACCGAATCAAACCCGGAGCGACTGCCAGGGGCTTTCTATCTGCTTCTGAAGCAACCCGTGGAAAGCAGAGTGTCACGGTGCCCAGCCTGCAGGGACCTCGTGAGCTGCCATAATAGCATTTAACAGGGCGCTGCTGAAGGTCGTTTGGTCGATACTAACGATAAGGTTACAATTCTGGTGGTGCCCTGTTCTTTTCCCTGGCGCTGAACGGCCTGTGCTTGGCCCCGTGATGGACCATGGCTCCTGCTCCTATGTGGGGTGACTGGATTAGCCCAGCTACCTGCTCGTCCCCATGTTTGGGGAGTTGGTTGCTATTTGAATGGCAGCTTCCCCCCCCCCGCCCAATAATGACATTGCCTTCCACCACAAAGTGATTCTGAGGTGACCTTTGCCTCGTGCAATTAAAGTCTTCATCTTTGCAAAAAAGCATAGGTTTAATACAACAGGGCTCTACTCCCAGAGAGAGATTGTATGAAGGCTGAAGATAAACAAGGTGGTAGGTGATGTCAGGTTTCTGCGACGATGCTGATGTGCAAGCATGACCACAACTGTGAGGAAATGAGCTGTGAAAGGAAGTAGTAGTGGAGAAAGTCTCTCTGCTTTTAAAAAATGTAAAGCCTAGCTAAGGAAAATTGCATTTAATGAGCAATCCCTGAGTCGTATCTGTGCGGAGGGGCAGAACGCCAAAACCCAAGATGTTAAGGCAAGCAGCAGTAAATGACCCTCTTGAAGAGGACTGTCAGGGAAAAGAGTTCAACTCAGACCTGCTGGGATTTCAGCAGAACAGTCCTAGCAGCAGGCTGAGGATCAGGGAGGGGATTAGCTACTTGGATGTTCAAAGCGTGGTGGGGGTCCCAACATGCAGTGCAGTCAGCATCTCCGGAAGGTAGAAAGCGTTTTTCTTCTCCAGAGTTAGGACAGAATTACTCTGGGGTTATATTGTTGCCCTCCCAGTTTGTTGGTCTCGTCTCCCTGCACTGGGGAGGGATATGGTTATCAAGGAGAGGCGGTAAGTGCAGTACAGGGCTCCGAGAGGGAACCAGTACCCTCAGCAGTATCAGGGTGCTGGTGAGAGCACCTTCCCCATCGCAAGGGCTAAATAGCAGAAGCGGCAACTGGCAGCCAGAGAGCTGCAGGTGCAGGAGGAGGAGCTGTGGCTCTAGTGTTGGAGGTTGCTGAGCAGGAGGATGAAAGCTGAGGGAGCTGAGCAAGCACAATAGGTGCGATGCAGAGAAAACATGACAGGCAAATAACAGGCCGTGTCAGACTTGCCTCAGTGCTAGGTCTATATGGACTGGCCTAGGCTGAGCTCTTGGGGTGTGTGTATGTGGAGGGATTGCCAGGAGCTCATTAGAAATAATTTTTGGTGATGTGCAAAACTGGAGGGAGTAGTCAACCCATGCAGACTGCCATGGAGGGAGCCCATAGACCCAGTAAAATTTAACTCTGAGGAAGGCATTTTGATCTGTTGACTAAGGTGTGTCTGACAAGTACATGCTTGACATCAGATGCCAAGGAAGAGCACAACAAGGCTGATGTGCAGAATCAAGTGCCTGTGACGCGAAAAGAGTTGAATGTCTGTATGGCAGAGTCCCACAGCCCGATTCTGGCCACCGACAGTGCCTACCACTCCTAGCCAGAGTCACCGACAAGCAAGGGCCAGCACAGCACTGCCAGATTGCAGGTCCCATGACACAGCCGAGCAGACAAGAGTCTGTCCAAAATAGTGGGGCTTTGGGTTTGGCAACAGCACATGTTTTCCAGGAGAACTATAAAAGGGATGGAGGTAGATTCTCCTCTTGTTGCAAATAGTAATATATTGTAGGGCAGTGGGTTATTTCCATTGGCTATCCTGCAAGCAAACGCTCATAAACTTCTAGCTTCTTCCACCCATCTGTTACTGGTTGCTGCTTGTGATCATTTTCCATCCAGTAACTCATGTAGGAGTCTTTCTGTTGGCATCTGGAGCATATGCCCAAAATATGTCCAACACTGCTGAGTGTGATGAAGACAAGCTGCCGACTGGTGACTTCTCAAGGTCTCCATGTTAGTGACAAAATATTTTCACTCATGGTATGAAATCTTTCATAAGCATTTATTTTTCAAGACACTTAGCTTCTTTTTGAATGTTTTGTTAACATGCAAATACTTCCAGACATATATGAGCAGTAGGCTTCCAGTCAATTTGAGAGCTTGCAGTTTTTTCTAGCAGTTCGCAGGTTTAGTTTTCACACGGTTTAGAGCTCAGCAAATACTGACAATGCCTTCATTGTATCATTCTTTTTACCTGACTTCTTTGGTGAATATGCTTTTGTTCTAACTAATGAACTCTTCTGTTGATTGACATCTACTTTTAAGAGTAACCAGATACTGGCTATGTGCAGCATGCAAGGAGTTCTTCAAATCCTCTTTGAAATCTCAAGGGGTTTCAATTTACTTTTTCAGGAAATCACTGTTAATACATTACTGATCTCACTTCTCTTACAGATAGCCCATCCCAGCTTATCCAGAATATCCTCACATGCAGAGGAGTGGCTTAATATTAAGACCTCATATTTTTTCATGTAAGGAAGTAAAATAAAGCAACTATCCTAAGTCTTAATCAGCGCGAACAAAACACTTTTCCTAACATTAAAATTTTACTGTGGTGTCATCTACATACTATGAGTGGATTATCTGCCCAGCCTGAGGATGGGAAGTGACTTCATTATATATAAATAAACCGGAAGTAGGGATGAAGGAGCTCTCTGGATCGTGCTAATTTCTCCTGGGGGCACATGCAACTACTGCACAAGAACAATTTTTTTTTTTTTGCTTTTGGATGGTATTTGATTGCAACAACTGGCTGGTATATTTCTGACAATTTCCCCAGAGAACATGTCTGTGTCCCCAGAGAAGATATCCATCTGAGTGATTAGAAAGGGTGTGCTACACTGTAAGCTTCTGACTATAATGAGAATACTATCTATCTAAGCATTGCAGATGCCAAGTAGAAGACATTCTCTCATTCTTTCTGTGAATTGGTAGCAGTTCTGTCTCACTGGGAAAGCCTCTAAATTCGTACTCTCAGCAATTCACACCACCCTGAGACGCTAGGTCCATCTCCTATCTCAGTTGAGTGAAGATACCTCAAGTATATGTTTGTTTCTTCAGAGAATCTGCTTGAGATTTGGGGATCAGAAGCCAGTAGCGCATTCGCAAATCTGTTATGACATGGAGGGCCAAATTGTGCAGCCCTTTCTCGTATAAGGTATGAAAGCTTACCTGGGGCTACTTGCACAAGTAACGCTCTATCGGTGGGAGTAATCATTTCATCCTCAGATGACAGAATGTATTACTCTGCTTTGATAAAACAGAAGCAAATTTGTTGTTTTTTGAGTGCTCTTTCTCTACACTTACCGCCTTACAAGGCTTAGACAACTCTCAGTCTTCTGAGAGACCGCAAAGGCTAGTTTACTGCTCAGGGAGTGCAGTCACAGTATGTTTTTGTTGATCAGAGACATAACTCGTGGCCGGCTTGTGGGTAAATGACATTTACAAGTATACAGCTATTTTCTCAGTCAGTTTTTAAGGGTGGATGGTGAGATCACATTATGCCAAAATATCTGTAACTTCTGTGAAAGAGATTTATTTAAGAAACACTGTGTGAGCTTCCCTACTACTCTGAGTCTCATATGCTGTAAGGCTCATAACACAATTTCTTGTGGGAGGTCTCTTGAACATGGTGACATCCAGTGACTAAACTCTACTAGCTTTTTGACTCAGAACTCTATCGAAAGAGAAAATCAGTTCAAGTTTTCAAAAAAGCCTTTAACCAGAAGCTGTGCATGTATGTGTGTGCATACTGCAGGAGCAGAAACTCCAATTCCTAATTCCTATCAAGGCTAAAGTTAAAAACAGAGGCCTTCCTCAGATAGCCATATGTTCCTCTGTTGCAGAGGCTGTCTTAGAAATTAAGGTATTGCATGCCAAAATAGAAAGTTATATTTTTGTCTTAGCTGAAACAGGGAATAGAAGAGAGTTTCTAGGAGATTTTCAGATCAGAGATCTTCAAATCAGCCGTCTAAACCAAGTCTTTGCCACTTTCCAGAACCAGAAAAACCAGGAAGGATCCCTCCATGAAAGCAGTATTTTGAAGAGCTTTCTTATTGCTCTTGTCCCTGTGACTCTTTTGCTGGTAAACCCCACCATTATGATCGTGCCAAGTTACCAAACAGTCTTAGTTCATTTGGCTGGATGCAAAGATAAGCTGTTCTTCCTTTCTCTCACTGCTAGTTATTCAATGGCAAGCTCTAACGCTTTGATTTGAGGGCAGCACTTTGATGGAACAAAAAGAAGGGCAGAAATAGTCATAATGCAGAGTAATTATATTCATTAATAACATGCATTCTTCAGCTAGTTTCTCTTAGGCTGCTTTCACACTTCAAGAAAAAAAATGTGGTCTTTGCGGTAAAGATGCAGGTGCTTGGGTGCCACAGGAACCTTGAATGTTATGTTTCTATTTGATGCTCAGCACTGCTACAGAGTGGGCTGCCCAGAGGTCTGGTTTATCATTCTGTGGT